GATATGCATTTTAACACTGCCTTCCTCATAGCATTCCCTTGCTCAGAAACCGTGAAACTTTTAGACTGCAGAAAATAACATTTACAATACTTACCCAGTCATTCAGGTTTTGCCTCTTGCTGACCATTTTATGTTAATACCTGCCTGCTCTACTGTATGGTTGCTCCACTCCTGGTGAGATTTACTAAGTGCTTTCTGAAATTTTCTCCTCAGAACTTCTCTCTTCTGCTACCCCTGGACATCATTTTTTGAATATCTCTATCTATACTTATATAACACTATTTGATTGACTGTCTTGTAATCTACTTATCTACACTTACATTTATAAATGCATTAAAATCATTGGTTAATGAACATCTAGGATTAGATGTTCATTTTATATATATATATATGAACTATTAAGACCATTTTCAGGGCTATACTTACTTCCTTTTGTTGCATCTCTAGAGGTGGAACCACTGTTTTGAAAGTTACATACATTTTAAGGGCATTTGACGTATTTTGACATTTGTTTTTCAAAGCAGTTTATACTACCAGGTTCATTTATGTTAATGATGTTGACCATTTGCCCCATTTGTTGGCTGTTTATATTCTTCTTAGGTGGACTTTGTCCCTTTTGTGGGGGGGTGGTTATTGGTTTGCAAAAGCTCTTTATATGTTAAGAACATACATAAGATATACCAGTATTCTGGAAATAAATTTTCCCTCATTTACTTTGTTTATGATGGTTGTGCCATTGAGAAGTGTTTAATACTTATAAACTTTAAAGCTATAAATATTTTTTGGATTCATTTCTCATTTGTTGTCATGCTGCAGAGACCTTCTCACCCAAGATTATGTGAATTTGCTCATTTTAGTAGTTTATCAGATTTAAAAAATTTTTTAATTTCTAATTTATTGGCAATACATTTTTGTAAGATATAGCCTGACCCTTCTATCTCCTGTTCTGAGATGACTCTTTCTTGTCCAGTGTTGGGTCACCTTTCTTTCCTCTGCATTTATGTGTATATCTTGACCCCACCCTGCACTCAACAATTGTGATGGTTTTGTAAAGTACTTCAGCTTTTCATTTAGTGGACTCTTCCTCATTATATTTTCCCTTTAATTTCCTTCGATATTCTGGAATCGTTCTTTTCTCCCAGATTCTCAGAGTGACACATGAAGTGTGAGTTTGTGGTTTAATTCTAGGAGAGTGGACATCTTTATGATATGGTGCCTCCCCTTTCTCTCAACAGAATAGGCACTTCTTTCTGCTTGGCCAGTTCTTTGGTCACACCCACAGAAGAACTTCTCATGATAATCCAGAGCTATTCAGATAGCTTGTTTCAGTGTTCTGCCAGCCTACCTAAGTGGGCACTGGTTACACCAGGCACTTGACCAGCTAGGGAAGAATCTATCCCTTGGACCCCTGAATGTGTGAGTTTTAGAAGTTTTCTCTTGGGTAGTGAATTCGGTACAAATTGCTTTTCCTGTCTGGATTCCAGCTGTTTTGAACTTAGCAAAGACTCCTTACTTCAGGAAAGTCCTAGAAGTAGAAGAGTAGGGTCTTGGGACACTTTCTGGACAGCATGCTCTTAGGTCAATAGTGATCTCAGTCTGTGGCCTGACTCAGGATACCTGGAGTGCACCTCTCCAGCCCCTGTCTATCCCAGGGGACCAGCTGCTCACTGGTCACTCTCCTTCATAGCCGCTTCAAGAGTCCACGGTTATCACTGTTTTCTTCTTGCCAAGTCGCATTCAGAGGAGTGTGAGATCCAGTTCCTCTCAGCTCAGCTGCTTTATCTGTCTTTAGATGACATGCTTAATAAATCTCAGCATTCTTGTGGCTAGTTCTTGCTGACCATTACAAACCTATCTGTGATTAAACTTAAATATATTCAATGTATCAATATTTGTATTCTAAACATATTCATTATGAATTTTTTCTCTTCCTTTTCCAAGGGGAGGAAAAACATAACTATTCTTTGAGAAAATTTTCGTGCATACTGGTATAATCTTCATCTTTCCTTTCTGTTTCAGAGTTCGATAACCTCCAACAACCCCAAAACATTTGTATTTCAGACAGTAAGAGTTTCATCCGTATTTTCTTTTTACATGTAGATTCTGTGTATTCTTGTTAAGGCCATTTAAAAATATTTCATGTTTTTCAGTCCTCTTGAGATTGTTTTCTCTATTATATTTTTAACGAGTTGTCCATATTTTCTTCTTTACTTTGTACACAAGCATATGAGTAAGGAGATCACATGGGAAGCATTTGAAAATTCGTAAGTTTGTGGTCCTTACTTCAGTGATTCTGCTAAGTCTGGGAGTGGGGGCGAGGGGAACTGGTTATCCGTGGTATGTAAGTGACTGATAAATTTCTTACCCCGCTTTGATTAGAAGTCTCTGGCTGACAATTTCCAAATACCAGTAATCAGTGAAAGAGCACTTTCTTCCCTTATCTCTGATTTGATGCCTTGCTTGAAATTCAGCAGTGCCCCAGATTTTCTGTTAAGGTTGTTGACTCAGCAGTGGGAGGTGGTTCAAACCCCACACATTACAAAGAAACTGGCTCTTGACTGCCTTCCGGAAGAGAACTTCTGAGCCTTTGGAATATCCTGCCTGAGATAGAGTCTGTATACCTGGGGCCTTGAAACTTGCCAGATAATTTATGCCAACAGTGTGAGTCGGGTCTTGGTCCACCCCATATGAGCTTGAGCCCTGGAGAGGCTGGAAACGTGGGTAACGTTTGCCACACAGGCACTCTGGGCCTAGGACTGACCCCTCATAAAACCATGGACACTGGTGCTTGAATGAGCTTCCCTGGCTGACAGCACCTTCCATGTGTTGTCACACATCACTACTGGGGAGAGTAAGCCCTGTTCACACAAGTCTTCTGGGAGAGGACAACCGGAAACTTGTGTCTGGTCCCTCCTGGACTCTGGCCTGTGTGCCTTTCATCTTTGCTGAATTTAACCAATGTCCTTTCTTTATAATAAACTATAATTGGATGTATAACAGCTTTTCTGAGTTCTGTGAGTCCATCTAGCAAATCATTGAACCTAGTCTTGGGTGCCCCCCAGTTTAGGTTGATAAGAGCTTTTTATAAGACTGTTAGAGAAAGGAATAATGCTGAGTTCCTTTTTTTTTTTAAAGTTCAAATTGCATGTTAATTTTACAGATACATTTTTGTCACCTCTAAAGACGGTCCTTGATTTTTGTTTTATTCATATGATAAAATGTGTTGTTTCTCTAAATCTGATTTTTTTATTCCTAAGATTACTTGTGCTTGGTTGTCCTGTATTTTTTTTTAACATGCCGTTCTCTTAGATATATTTGTGTTTTATTTATGATTTTATTATGAATGATTGATATTTTGTCTTTTATCTTTGTCAGACAGGGGTGAATCTTTAATTACTATAATTAAAAATATTTCATAAGAAAAATGACTAAAATATGGTTATTCCTGGCTCCTTCAATAGAGCACTGTACCCAATTTCACATTTTCTTGACTCACTGCCCCCATTTTGAACATTATGGTGTGTAATGGGCCCTCAGGTCCCATTGAGGTGTGAGCGGCTGCTTCCTCGACATTAAATGCTCCCCAGACTGCTCTCTGCTTGGCGTTCTTGGGTTTGCTTTCTTCTGTTTTTTCTATGCTTTCAAGCCCCACTTCTTGTAATTTTGGGGTTGCCTTTCTGTAATAGTCCCTCTCCTCCCTTTACTTGGCTCCTTTTTAATGACTGTGGGCTTGGAGGCTGCATAATTAAGCTTGTTGTATAATGATTTCCAAAATGAGAGCAAATAGGCTTTGAGAGCCGGGGGCCCTCTTCTCTAGAGAAAAAGCATTTGCTTCACGTCATGGGTTTTTAAATAGACATTTAGGATTTGGAGAGATATTTTGCTCTGTGATTCTGGAGAGTTAAGTCATAAAGTTGATGGGTTAGTGTGTTTGTTCATTTGTTCGTTCATTCATTCATTCAGTGCTTATTAATTGAGAATCTCCATGTCACTGTAAAGTGGATGGTTGAACTGAAGTAGGTAAGACACGGTATATAAACCAGCTTCTATCTGTGGAATAATATGGGAGCACAGTCTGAACTTTGTTATGGAAGCTTTTGATGAAGATCTTTTGTTTATTCTCTGGTAACAATTTTCATTTCAGATTCCAAAGCATTAATAAGAAAGCTGTGCAGCAAAGAGTTGAGCTAGCTGGCCTGAGATTGCTTTTTCCTAAGAAAGGCCTGCTTGCATGGTTGGCCCTTGGCTGGCATCTTAGAACCTGGCTCTCGGAGACCTGCCAGTCAGCCTTTGACTGCTGAGGGTGGTTGACTGTGCCTAGACTGTGCAGTGTGCTTTTTGTTGAACGCCTGCTTTCTTTCTGGGAGTCTGGGATTTTGATACGTGCTAAACACAGGTTGCCTGTGCGACCAGCCCCCACGTGATGAAAACCTGGGTCACTTGAGTCTTCAGTGGGCTTCCTTGGGCAGAAACATCACACACGCGTGCTGTTTTTGTGACTGGGAGAGTGTGCTCTGTGTGACCCCTTGTGGGAGGCGGAGAGGATCAGGAAACCTACACATGGAATCTTCCAGCCTCCACTGTGTCCCATGTCCTTGTCCTCAGCCGTGTGCTCTGGCTGTGTTGCTCTACTAAGTCTGCACTCTGAGTCCAACTGTATGCGAGTCTCCTGAGTTCTTTCTCGAATCTCTAAATGTGAGAGTGGTTTTGGAACACCCACCACAAATGCCTGAAGTTTCTGGGTCTCGTACTATGCGCAGCTCAGTACTAACCATTTTACGTGGAACGTCTCACTGACTCTTCCCCACAACAGTACTCTGAGGTAGGTCAGTATCCTCATCACCGCTGGCAAGTGCACGTCCTGCAATTCATACATTTATTTCAGTATCTGGTTTGTTGTTTTCAGATATTTGAACTTGATGGTATATTGCTTCTGTTGTTCAGAGAAAAATTTCAATGAGGAAAAGCACCGGGTTTTTTAAATCACGTTGTCATTTCAGGTATGAGCACATCCTCACGGAGCCCGACCCGGTACCCTCATATGCCCTGAAGCTGCTGGTTGCCATGACAGAGCACAACCCGTCTTTCACCAGGTACTGTCCCTTCAAATTTCCTTTCCTTGATTCTCATCTGTGAAATGAGTTTTACGTGTTCTGAAAATGCTGTTAAAGATGTTGAGTTTCTCAAAGGCTCATGTTTGTGTTACCACAGTGGTAAATTTTCATGTGCTGTGGTTTGTGGTATCTGTCGTTTATGGTGTTTTGAGTGTTCTCATATTTTTATCCTTTATTAGAGTTTGCATTCTGTGGCATTCATGCTTTGAAATAATAAATTGTTTCAATAGAAAATACTAATACAATACTTAAAAAAATCATTTGGTGTTTCATCATAATGAGCAGTTGTTTGTTAAATCTCTTTGGTATTAATGGACTATAATTTTTCCCCTATATTATTTAGTGGATATACTTCTATTAAGTAGTGGAGAGCTTTTGTCTTTATTGAAGATACTCCCTGTGATGCTACCAAAGTTTTTAGTACTAGTTGCTGGGGTAGCAGTAGCTGCTTCAGTCTCGGGGAGAAGAGTTTGTCAGAGAGCAGCCAGGTCTTTGGAAGGGAAAGAGAAGAAGCAAGAAAACTAGTTTTGAGTTGTGTAGGTGATGTCTGAGGACCTTTTGGATGTGGATCCACCTGTAGGTGTGCCTGTGAATTGCCCTTCGGTCTTTCCCAGAGAACTAAATCACAGTCCCGACCACCTGGACTTCATCTGGTCTGCTGTTGACAAGTCCTGCATAGTGGTGGGCCACTGTGACTATTGTTAGTAGTGAACAAGGAAGGCTCTATGTATAGAGTATCCATATTGAGTGGAAGGCTGAGCTAAAGCAGCCTTTGTGGTGGGTGTTCCAGGGCACAGACGGCACCAAGACCGAGTCACGGAGATGCCTCTGGGTCTTTAGGTCAGTCCTGATGCTGGGGTTGCCACAGCTCTCAGGCCCATTTGCTCCTGCTGTGGCAGCCTTACCCGTTTCTGGAGGGGGGCCTGTAACTATTATCCTGTGGTCTCTGCTCCATGTTGCAAAAGCATTTGGGGAGCACTTAGCCCTTTATACTCTTGTCAATTCAAAATCCTCTATTTCTGTAGCCTTTTAAGCCTGTCCAATGAGCATTCCATATTTCTCACTCAGAAAGCACCATTCTCTCATCCTACAGAAGAAATTTAATTCTAAAGAGTGAATATTAGATGTTAAATCCAAATTCAGAACTTGTTTTTTTCCTGAACCTTTGATACCAAGTGTAACACTGTGTACTGATTTTATCCTTTCATTAGATTGAGCCGATGCATTTTCTTTATGTTGACTCTTCCTCATTCCTGTGGCATGTTTTCTAGGCTCCTTTCTCTTCTTGCCAACTCTTGATTAAACTCGTCTGAATTTCCTTACATGGAGGGGAAAAACCTAGTGAGGTAGAAACAGATAACTTACACATGACCTATAACCTTTCATTTAAAAATGATGAGACACTAGGTTTAGAAGTCTATTTTACTCTTATGTTTTTTTAAAAGTGTCTACAAGCAGAATTCGATGGACTAATTTTATAAACTTTTTCCTTGTTTTCATTGCATAATTAATATTAGAATATGTTGTCTTTGTTTTAAATGCTGACAGTATAATCAAGAGGTCCCCTGGGCTTCCCCATTACCCAGCACTGCTCCACAAGTGTCCCCCCCAGGGGCAATACTTACTATTTTGGTGTGAGTCCTCCCTGAACTTTTTTTTGGCTAGTTAAATTCAATATGTATATATAGAAATAAATAACCTCACTATGTGGTCAGTTTTTAAAAAATCATAGTATCATTGTGTATTTGTTTTTCCGAAATTTACTGTTTCATTTGTCAAAATTATTTGAAGATCTTTCATCTCACATTCCTGGCAATATCTTTGCCAAACTTATGGATGAAAATGGGATTTCATTTTACTTTGCATTCACTTACCTACTGATAACCTCTAACCTTTTAATATTTATTCACTCTATTTAACTAAGTGGTAAAAGGTGCATAGCCTTCAACCTTTAATTCCACTTCTAATTCAGTGCTACTCTCTGTTCTTGAGAAAAACTCATATATGCACAAAGATTTCCACCTAGGTAAGTTTTTAAAATGAGAAAAATGATTTAAAATTGTATTATGATACAGCCATAATAAACACAACTGTGTAACAGTTTGAAAGGGAAAGATAACATTCTGAATACTGCTATAGAAATATAACCCAAATGATTTTTAAGAAAAGTTTTTTTTTGGAGGGGGGAAGGTAATTAGGTTTATTTATTTATTATTATTATTTTTAATGGAGGTGCTGGGAATTGAACCTAGGACCTCATGTATGCTAAGCATGTGCTCTACCACTAAGCTATACCCTTCCCCCAAATGATTTTGTTAACTAAAATGATTTATTATTCCCAAGTCCATTTAAACACTACTTTTGGCATTTATAGGGCCTCTTTCTGTATTCACTATCTGTTCTATTTGTCTTTTCTCTTAAAACAGGGTATTTAAATGAGAGTTGTCCCATGTCAATTTTGGCTGAGGCTCCAGAGGTCTAGAGCAAAGTGTTAAAGGTCATTACCACCCGCCTTCCCTCTTCCCCACCCTACTTCTAAAGAGGAGGTAGCAACCTGTATGCAACTTGCAAAATACAGTCACATACCTTGAAGGGGAGGGATGAAGGAAGGGTTTTTATTTCCCTTACTGGATTTTCAAAATGAATTTTAAGTCCAACGTTTTGAAATGGGTAATTCATTTCTATTTGAGAAAAAAACTAGAAAGAGATAATACTGAGAAGTCTTGTTCCTTCCCCTACCCACTGTGTTCTTTCCACATCTTTCCATTAACCTCTATGATTAACTACTTTTATTCATTTTGTGTCTGAAGGCAAACTGATGTGACTGTGTTTTCTCATTTCTCCCTTTCACACCCAAATAGCATAGAATTTATATTTTTCTATGCCATGGTTTTTTCCCTCCAGTTTTGGTTCTATATTAATACATAGAGAAGTTCCATATTGTGTTTTACAAAGTCTTCCATTGTATGGATATGCCATACTTTATCTCATTAACACCTAATGGGTAGACATGAGTTGTTTCTATTCTTGTGATAAACAGCAAACAATGAATACTCTTATTCATGCATCATTTTTAAGATGTGTGTTTATCTTATACAATAAATCACTAGACACGATATATGTGTATCAAATGGTAAGTGCACCGGAAAAGATTTTTTTTTAAGATTTTGCCAAATTGCCCTCTGTGGGCATTTTACCATTTTGCATCTCCAGAGGACATGTTTGAGGATGTCTGGTTCCATACAACCTTGCCATCAGAATTTGTTGTTAAATTTTGGAATTTTGCCAGTATGAGATAGGTTGTTTCAGTGTAATTTTAATTTGCATTTTCCTCATCATGAGTGAAGTTGAGTATTTCTTTATATGGTTAAGGACCACTTGTATTTTGCTTTTTGCTCACCCTCTTTGCCATTAGTACTTGGCCTTGGCAATGCCACCCTTCAAAGTGAAACATCTCCTGCCTGGCTTTCCATTGCACAAATACACTCAGTCTGAGAATCTGTTTAATTTTAACAGTGTCTGCATTGTTCCTATATTTTACTGTCTGTGAGTAGTGTGACCATGAATATTACTTTGCACATTCTTTGGTGAATCCATGTATGTGTCTCCATGGGAGACTTGTGCTGGAGTGGAAATATTGACTTACCGAGCATGTGCTTGCCCAGATCCACTAGCTGCTGCCAAGATGTTTTCCAAATTGGTTGTACCAGTTTATATCCCTACTAGTGTTGTTCAAGAGGTCCAGTTGTCAAGTAAGCTTTTTAAAAATTTTTTTAAGTCAGGTTAACTTAAAGTATAAATTTACAGAGTAAAATTCACTCCTTTTAGGTATATAGTTCCTCTGAGTTTTGAGAAACATACACAGTGGTGCAAACACCACCACTCTTAAGATAAATTATTTCCATCATTCCAAAATGTTCCCTCGTACCTCTTTGAATGTTAGCTGATAAAAATTCTGCTTGCCTGGAGAATATGACCAAGACTGATTTTATATTTCGTTTTAATTTTTAAAATTCATTTTTTAAGTTAGTAAATAACCCATTACAAATTTTAGTATTTTAAAAACAAAAGCATATTTTCACCCGAGGAGGTAGTCACTTTGATCAGCTTGTGTGTGTATGTGTATTATTTTTCACATAGATGATAGTATGCTGTCTTCACCATTGTGCACTTCCTTTCAAAAATACATGTGACAACTTTATTGAGATATAATTCACATACCATCTGTCCTTTTTTTTAACAGAGACATAGTGTTAAATTTTATGAATATTCCATATTTATTTCAGGTCACCTTTTGGTGAACACTTAGGTTTTTCTAATCTGTTGGTATTATAAAACAAAGCTATAATTAATGACATAGGTTATTCACCACATGTGTGAATATAGATGTATAAGAACAGTAATGAGAAGGATTGTTTCATCGAAGGGTACATAAGCCAGTGTTTCTCAAAATTGTTTGTACATTAATATCAGGTGGGAATCTTTTCAAAAGTCTAAAGCTCAGGCCATATCCCTGTCCAATAAATCACAATTGCTAAGGCTGGACAAAGGCTTCAGTAGTTTTTGAAGTTCACTAGGTGATAACAGTGTGCAAACAAATTGGGGAACCACTGGTCAAAGCATTTATTATTTTGAAAGTTGTTGTCAAATTACCTCAGTCCAGGTTGTCCTAGCGGTATATGAGAGAGCCCATTTGTGGCAAACTTGTATAAATTAGTGTGTATATGTGTTTGACCTTGACCATTCTGATAAGTGAAATTTGTCTCTTTTTTGTTCATTTCTAGTTTTATTACTTTGTGATCAGACCCTATATTTGTTCTATTTCTAATTTTTATTATTTGATTTTATTTGAGGTCTAATAGGTGATTAATTTTTGTGAATGTTCTATGTTTCATTGCTTACTGTAACCAAAACCAAATTAGGCCTAACCCTGAAATCACTCTCACCCACCCCTAATTTCAGTGAGTGCCTAAAGTGGT